AATTTCCAATTATTTTAATGGTACATTTCAAATATTATTCCAAAACTTGATTTATTCATTTTATTTATGTCTTAAATTGAACATAAAAAGCCAAAGATAGTTTTATACCTATCTTTAATATCTTCAAATGATTCTTCAAATTTTCAATATAAATTAAATCTCTATATCTAATATAATATACCTTAGTAATCTATGATAGAAATAAATATTATCAAAGAAAAGTTTAGTTGTTTCTATATATTTGATAGTTTTTCACATAATATAAAATATCCCATCTTAGTGAAAAAATCTACTATCATAAATATAGAGTCATAATAATTTGAGGTTGAAAGATCTATAATGAAGGCTATAGAAATAAAATACTATGATTGTTTTAATATAGATAATAGCTAAAAAATTCTATAAAAATAATGATAAAGAATTTTTTTTATCTTGAACAAATATTACATGATTAATTAAAAAATTTAATTTTCTTTTATATTTGAGGCCACAAAAAATCTCTTAATATTAATTTCGATGTCTTATTATATTCAAAATGTCTTACAGCTAAAAATTTATGACAAGCTTGAAGAGTATGTAAATGTGCTTCACCTTCTAAAATATATAAGTATTTATTAAAATATAGAGGTTTATTTATATTTCTAAAAATAATAATAAATAGCTATCTATAACTAATTTATGTATATACTAAGTTTTCTTTATTAGAAATATTTCTTAATTTTAACAAAATCTTTATTTATAAAACAAGTTGAAGCTTTTAAATCTAACAAGGCAAAGACTTTGTAATTTTTTTGGCTCTAAAATAATATCTATTATAAAGTAAGGTGAGAGACCTCAAGAGAGAATAAAACCTTTATTAAGTGTTTCATAAGATTTGAGCCACATTATCCCTATTGTAATTGGACAAACATGTTTTTTGATACATTATCTTTTTTTGCAACTATTATTTTTATTTTATAATTGTGTTGCTTCTTTGAATAATATTGAGTTTGATGCTTGGATTTATCATAATATAAGTATAATTCTTCTTTATAACATTAAGTCTTTTTTTGCATGGTCAGACGTTTGAAATGTATTGTATAAATTTCTATAGGTTTTGGCCTTGTTAAATAAGTTCTTGAAAATTTAGAAGTTATTGTCATGACTTAACTTGTACCTCTCCAACTAAATCTTTATTCTTGGTGTCTTTTAAAAAGTTGATTGTTGTATGCAATAGCTTGAGGAATAAATTGTTCAAATGATATTGTTTTTGGAATTGTCAATAATAAATCTTTGACATTATTTTTTTATTCATATCAAAATTGACTAAAACATGTATTTTTATTCTAATCCACATTGCAAGTAAAGAATTGGAATTCAATAGCAGCAAGTTTGTTAATATTCACTGTTGTAATTAAAGGATATATTTGCTCAAGTTGCAAAAAACTTAGAACAATAGATGAGTATTTTTAATAACCAAAATCCAATTATTTTTTGATGTCGGAGATATTCCAACAGATTTTTAAGAACCATATTTATATTACTATGGTCCCTTTAATGTCTTTAGAGAATTTATAATATCAAGAAAAATTTTAAATGAACATTTTTTCTGCCAAAAGACATTGTCACCTACCCAAAATAATACAATTGTCCTTGGTATTATACTTAGTTGAAGGACTAAGATATAAACCAATTAGAAAGTATTATTCGAATTAATCATACAATCTTAATTTTTTTGCAAGCAATAAATTCGAGTTGCAATAATATACTAGTTATATTTTTTTATCATTATTTTAAAATAGAACCTATTTATTCTTTGACAAATCAATCTGCAAACAACATATATTAATTCCAATTGATAACTTGTCTTCAACATAATGCCAAATGGAATGACTACTCACTTTCAACTTGGTAATATCATCTTTTTAGGAATCAACAAAAAAAATTATGTACTTTAAAAAACACAAATCAACTAATTACAGTTTTCTTTTGTGAACAACATAAATTCAAGTTTAAATATAAATTTAAAGAAAAGAGTTGATGTTTAAAAAATATATATGTTTTATTTAATAACATTTGAATCATTTTTGGTAAGCAACATCTTTCAAATTAGACTATCCTTCCCTACTAGAATCTTTCTTTATTATAAAGAATGTTAAGTTGTAATAAGTAACTGACCCTTGACAACTTATTTGGTAACACCCAATTGTCTAACAACATACTAATAAGCTAATTTGAAACTAATCATCTAATTTGGGCACTAAAACTAATAACTTAAAACTGTTTTTAAATAATCTGCAAAGGTATAGGATGTTTACAAAATACATGGTTGTGTGGTCAAAGAAGGAAATAAATAGATTAATTGATGTTGACCATACTTTTTCAAATGAAATTTGACCCTTCATTAATAATTTTATTTTTAAAAGTAAATGTCTCTTACGGAGCTAATTATAATTTTGTGTGCATTATTGTTACTTGATGTCTTTTCCATTAAATATTTAATTAAATTTGACCTTCTTTGCATGATTCTTTTATCTTTCGGGTCTTCTCAAGAGGGCCCACCAGTGCACTCAAGACCCCCACTAAGTCTTCAGTCCCACGTCTTCATCCAAGTCTTCCGAGGGGGACTTCACTGGCGCTAAGAATCTAAGCCAACATCCTTAAACAATGCGAGGGTTTCTTTCAAAATATTAGGCCATATTTGAATTGCTTTTCAAATATGCATTTGATTATTATAATTGTTACTATTATTTTTATTGTTGTTGTTATTATTATTGGTTTTTTTGTTGCTGTTTAGTGAGGTGATTGCAAACAGATGGAATGCCACTTTACACTATCTATTACTACATCCAACACAACACTAGTTAATCAATTCAATTCTAATGCAACAATTGTATGAAATAATTGATGAGTTGAAAGATTTTATTATTATTTGAAATTGAAGATATTAAGTTCAGTGCAATATGCATCCTCAACTTCCTTCTTCTGGATACATCAAACTTATTCTTGATTTATTTTTTAAAGCATTTGCACAAAATAATGGAATTTCTACATGCATTGAATGACTCTCTCTCTCTCTCTCTCTCTCTCTCTCTATATATATATATATATATATATACATGTTATTAAAAACTTGCTTGAAGATACAATGATGATGATGCATAAAGTTTAATCAAATCCAGTTAAAGTTGTACACTAAATAATGAATAATAACCATGTTTTAATCAAATATCCAGAAGGTCAAAGTTTGTAAATGATTTCTGGGCCTGCCCTTTAAATGAGAGCCTCTTTGTATTAAAAACACCAAACCTGGGGTGATATTTCATTTAAAACACCACCCATGATAATTTTGAAAATGAACTTAAAATACATCATTCAGTTTTCTTACTTTTTGGTATTTTTATACATGTAAAATTGATATCCCATAAATACCTCGGTATTGTATATTTTCAGTTTTTCATTTAACAGTATTTGTTAATTAAACACTTGTTATAAAATATATTTTCAAAATTTGTCATTGTTAATTTTAAGATTCATTTTTAATATTAACATGAAACTATTTCTAAACTAAGAAAAGAAAACGTAAAAGTTTTTTATGACATGTACGTACAATTTGCAAGAAAAAGTCACCAAACAATAATAAGTAGACCAACCTCAAAAACTGTACCAACAATAATAATAAATCAAAGTAAATAAAACATCGTTTTAAAAGATAAGAAGCTTCAGAAAAATAAAAAATAAAAGCATTGTCAAAAGAATGGCCATTCTCTATAAATCACTCCAAGGTCCAACGAGAACTGAAAGCTGCATTCAGTTTTTTCGAAAACGCCAGACATAGTCACAAAAGCAGCAAGAGGATAACTACTGAGAGATAAAGAAGACGGAAAGATGTTTCTGAGGTCAACGCTTGTCCTCCCCCCCTTCGGAAGACAGTCAAAGGAAGGGTTCCACAGTACAAAAGCAAAAAAAATAATAAAATAATTATAAAAATAAAACACAGAACAAGGAAGGCGTCCACATTACAATATGTTTGTAGATATATATATATATAGAGAGAGAGAGAGAGAGAGAGAGAGAGAGAGAAAAACAAAAACAAAAAATGGGAAAAAAAAATATGAAACAAAAACAGGTGCTGTTTCATGGTAATAGCCTGCCTGCACCCACCCACACAAAAACCTACGAAACCACACTTAAAAGGAGCCCTAATGGTCTATCTCCATGTATTGGAACGGCTTGCTATTTATTACCAGAAAGACAAGACCTTGGGAGTGTCTATTGTTTTTTCACCACTTCGTCTTCCAACCCCAGTTTTTGTCCCACCTCATTTTAGGGTTTAGAGCTGTGGGTCTCTCAAAATCAGGAGAGAGCGAGCGAGAGAGAGAGAGAGAGAGAGAGAGAGAGATTCTACCCACATCCCTAAAAGTTGGAGTGGAGTGGAGTGGCAGGGATACAAAAGAGTGTGAAAAGATGAAGAACGTCCTCTGAAGCTGCCCGACTGAAGTAGTTGAGTGTGCTTCAAAAGCACCTTTGCTCATCTGCTTTTTTGGTATAAATAATAGTAAAACCCCAAAATGTGTGTGCTACAGATTGGTGACCTGCAATAATGTTTCTTAGGGTTAATACATAAAATATATATGTATATATTCATATATATATATATATATATATATATATATCGTTTGTACTAGTTAGACAATAAAATCTAGCCTTACAATCCACAGGAACACCTGAGATTGATTCTCTTACGCAGTTTAGAAATACCAAAACTGACAGATGGATCTTTCACGGACATGATAATTTGGCACATGGCGCACGGCGCTGAATGAGATTAGTGTGGGGTACTTATGAAAAAAGGATGCGGGGTAGTTCTTTTAGCATTTTCTCACCTAGCTGGTCTCAAGTAAGAGTTTTTTTTTTGACATTTTGCAACAAACTGGGTTGTGAATTACTTCCTGGATTTTCTGATGATGATAATGATGTGGGGGCTATGTCAACTTCGGTGCCGTTGGTCGCCATCGGTGCTGTTTCGAGAAGTTCAATCTGTTGTTGTGGGAGCTTCGCGTGGGTGGTAGGTTAACGGAAGACAATCTAGTCGCCTCAAGGAAAGCCGCTGGACAGTGGACGCGGCAAGCATGGTCACCACAAGTGTGCTTGCTTGCGAACTGCTTTGTGTCACTCGTCTCATCTAGAGCTTGCGACTTGTCGGATTCCGCGTCCGCCCTTCACGGACCCTCCACCTGTTTTTGTCTATGATCCTCGTCGTTGCTCCTCTAATTTCGCTCGGAATGACACGGTAACCAGGAAAGTATGGGGTAGACTCACTTTTCCCTCTCCCTCTCTCGCTCTCGCTCTCTTTTCCCTCTTTCTTGCTTCTGGGCTTCCTCTCCTTCCCTTAAGTGCACTTCTCATTGCATCCCCCTCAGATTTAGGACGCCTCCGGCGCTTCTCTTTACTGTTTAGTTCTGTCTTCATTGTGCTCATTGATCTGCCACAAAGTATAAATACTTCTGCGAGAGAGTATGATGCAATCCAGTTGGAGGTGGTGGATTCAGTACTTTTGAATTCTGAGTTGATTTACAATCATGGGGTGGACCATACAAATCGTGAGGATTGCGCTGCTTGGGATCTTGATGGTAGCATCGATGGACGAGCTTACTATGGTCGCCCAAGCTCAACAGTTTAGTTTGGTACATGGATATGCCCATCTGGAAGGCTCTCCTGCCTCTAGAAGGGATCAGCACATGTCACGTGAATATTTTGAAACGCTCAAGGCTCACGATCGTCGACGCTTGGCTGCCGTTGTCGACTTTCCTCTCACTGGAGACGATGATCCCTTCGTGACTGGGTATGTGATTTTCCGATGAATTCGCTCGCTCTCGCTCTCTTTCTCTCTCTCTCTCTCTTTCCGGTTTTCAGGGTGTTGTATTTCTCTTCGGACTTGCACAGATTTTCCATACTGAACCTACAACCTTCGCGTGTTATAATCGAAATATCTGCGTTTGAGAGTTAATCTGGGATTCGAAAATCGGTAGCTTGGCGCGCTGTCTAGATCGTCTTCTTCATTCCGCCGTTTACGCTCGAGACTTCAAACTGATGGAGCTGAATCTTGTTGAGAGCAGTGGAACTGATTTCATGACCAACAGAGGTTTAATTACCGAGGTCGTTCGTCTACCGCTTCGCCACACTATTGCTTTATACTGTGCACATGCTGGAGCAATCTAAATATTCTCCATGCATCTGTTATTCTACCCAAAAGTTTTGTCACGGTGTTGGGTTTGAGCTAGACATGCTTAGTTCGCGAATTCAAGAGGTTCTTGTAGACGAGAAGGGGTTTCGCCCGGAATTTTCGAAATTGTCGCGTCTGTGATTGAAATGAACTTCTTCCGTGTCGTTTGACCACTACATTGACTCAGCGAGTCTTGGAAGATAGTTTGCCTAATCTGGTCGAAGGTCAAATGTGAAATCAGGTTGTACTATACAAAGATTTATTTGGGCACTCCTCCAGTAGGTTACTACGTGCAAGTGGACACCGGTAGCGATGTAACTTGGTTGAACTGCGCTCCTTGCACCTCTTGCGTTACCGAAACCCAACTTCCAAGTGTACGTTCCCCCCTCCTCCTTTTCCTTTCGCTTCAATTGCAACTTGATTACTCGAAGATGTAACTCAATTCGTCAATTCATAGGCGCTCGACAAAACTAGATATGTTCGCTTTTAATATGATTGTTTAGAGAACGTGGGAAGTTTGGGTTTTGTGCAGATCAAATTAACAACGTATGATCCATCAAGATCATCGACCGACGGGGCCCTTTCATGCAGAGACAGCAACTGTGGCGCTGCTTTGGGTAGCAACGAGGTCTCTTGCACAAGTGCAGGATATTGTGCGTACTCCACTACCTATGGCGATGGGAGCTCAACCCAGGGCTATTTCATCCAAGATGTCATGACCTTTCAAGAGATTCATAACAACACCCAGGTTAATGGCACCGCCAGTGTATATTTTGGGTCAGGATTTACCAACCTCGTTTTCTCCTACAGCTTTGCTTTCGACACCAGTGCTTCCGATTTGCATCCTCGAGAGACTCTCCTTACTTTGAAGTTCGGAGTAACAAACCTAGTAGTGATAGATTGCCAGCGTTTTAGATTTGGTGCACGTCCATCTGTTATTCTGTGCTGTAGCATCGTTGGTACAGAGGTGCAGCGATTCACTAAGAATGGGCTTTGAGCAGGTGTGGAACGACTCAATCTGGAAATTTACTGATGTCGTCGCGGGCGTTAGACGGGCTTATAGGCTTTGGCCAGGCAGCGGTCAGCATTCCCAGCCAACTGGCATCTATGGGCAAGGTCGGTAATAGGTTTGCGCACTGCTTGCAAGGGGACAACCAAGGAGGCGGCACCATAGTGATTGGCTCCGTTTCGGAGCCCAACATTTCCTACACTCCCATCGTGAGCCGGTAAGCCCCATTTCCCATCTACTCTCTTCAGCTTTGTGTACAAGTAATATTCTAAACCTAGTGCTTAACACTAACCCTCGTTCTTTTTTTGCCGACCTTGCAGGAATCACTATGCAGTAGGGATGCAGAACATTGCAGTGAATGGAAGAAACGTCACAACGCCGGCATCCTTTGATACCACATCAACAAGTGCGGGAGGCGTTATCATGGACAGTGGCACTACATTGGCTTACTTAGTAGATCCTGCATATACCCAATTCGTGAACGCAGTAAGTACTTTCGAGTCCTCAATGTTTTCATGTATTACTATGACCATGGTTCCATGAGGAATGCAAGTGCGTAATTCAACTCGAGTAATAGTGTGTGCACTATATGATGGCAGATAGTAGCTGCTGCCCCGGTTCCTGTCACAGTTGTTACTTCGAGTAGTTCTGAATCGATTTGTTGGATCTACACTGGCGAGTAAGCACTCCCTCATTTTAGATAGATGTGTGTTGCATTCTTGATTTTGAGATTCAGAAGTTGTGGCAAGATTGGTGTCCAGAATTTGCTGTAATGGAGTGTTGAGCTCACAGTCAATGTTTGCAATTGGCCTGGTGCAGCCTTCAAGCTGATTTTCCTACAGTGAAGCTCTTTTTTGATGCTGGAGCAGTCATGAATTTGACTCCTCGAAATTATCTGTATTCGCAACCGTTGCAAGTAAGTTTTGAAAATAGCACCTAAAATCTCTCTACCTTTTGTGCTTATATATACATATATATATATATATATATATATATATATTTTGAGGGCGTTGGTAGAGGCTTTTAACACTAAGCGTCTCTTTTGTTGTGGCCTCGAGTTTGGTAGTGTAATAATTTGAATTGAAATCGCTTGCATTCTGACATAATGAGATCGGGGATATTGGCAGAATGGGCAAGCCGCTTATTGCATGGGTTGGCAGAAAAGTACGACAAAAGCTGGTTACCTTTCTTATTCAATACTTGGAGGTAAAGTTACATTTCTGATGATCCCACTCATAAAACCTTAGTAACCTGGCTGTTGATGTTGGGTCCTCAGGTCACAATTCCATCATTTTTAAAATAAAAAAAAATTAAGCTTTTTGGTTTGTTCTGGGAAATAGGTTTGTATGAAGCTCAATTCTATCATCAAAGACGTGCTCTAGTCAATAGACAGGTGTTTCGATGAGTCCTAATCTACTCTGGCCGAGGTTGATTTAGTGTGGGAACGGTGGTGACAGACATTGTGCTAAAAGATCATCTTGTCGTGTACGATAACGATAACAGAGTGGTCGGGTGGAAAAGTTTCGACTGTAAGTTTTTCTAAACATTTTACTAAAATTCAATTATTGCTCTTAAGTATAAGTTGAAAATTTGCCCAAGTGTGGGCACGACTTTGAGTTTAATGACATGTGCTAGCAATCTTGTTGAGCACAAGGAGTGTTGTTGGACTAGGAATGAATCGCTCATGAGATCTTGGAATGTGAACGCAGGCACTAAATCCATAAGAGTGAGTGCTGACAGCAGCACCTCTCCAAATGAAGTGATGCCGAAGTTAGGTGCTTCTGGAGCTGGAGCCTCAAGAGAGATCAGTACCCATGTCCTATTATTGTGTCTGCTATTTGCAATGTTGAGCATATATAGCTAACCCTCATTATTTGCCAATTGTGAAAATCTGAGCTCAGTGTTCAGGCACTGTAAGTGCAAAATTGACATGATTTAAGAGTAGATAATGATTTTGAATGTCTTTTTAAAGACATGCTTACTCTTCAAAATGCATCTGTTCAAACAACAGTGTTTCCATTGCATGTTTGTGCATGGGTATAATTATTTGTTGGGTTTTTTTGGCTGTCATCTCCTTCCCTGTTGCAAACAGCACCTGCATCAGTAATTGCATTAGATCTCACATACCTTGTGTCATTTCTTCCCATGGTAATATTCATCAGTAACCAAGAAATAGAGCTACTTCAAAACAATTATTAACTGGATTTCTCAACCAATTTATCAACGATTTAATTCAACATTTATCTTTTGGTTGCCGAGTATGCTTCAGTCTCGAAGAGTGTCAGCAAAGCAGCATGGCCAATAAATGTAAACTTGTGCATTTATATATAAATATATATATATATAGAAAAGAAAATGAATGTATTGAATGTTTTTGGAAGCCCTGTTCTAAGAAGATGTAAAATGTTTACATGAGTTTGTGAAATTCAGATTTAAGGCCCTTTATTTTTCGTACATATGAAGATAGAATGTTATTTCTACTTGCCAAAAGATGAACTAAATGAAGTTGCATTGCAATGTTAAAGAAAATCAAACTACCAGCCAAAATCTTCTAAATAAGACAACTTGAATATAGTATAAAGAGGCAAAAATGCATTCTAATTGGTTGTTGAGAAGGAAATTTTGAGAACTTGAAGAACTTAAAGTTGTAGGAGCTTCAAGAACTAAGTTGTTACTGTTCGTTATCTTTTGTGTCTTAGTTTTTTGTGCCCTTGATTCATTTCTATTGTATTGATTTACATAGTTTCACGAGCAACAATGAGAACATAGTAGAAGTTTACTAAATAACATTTGGTAACATCTTGAAGATTGTATTGGTTTTTGAGCATGTCAAAAATTGATAGCATGAAATACTGTACCTCCAAAGCTCCTTTACAAGCGACTAACAAAGCTTTAGACTAATCTACTTAATTCAATATTTTTGCATATTCAAGTTTTTTTTCTACTTAATTTTGTGATCACAATAATTGAAGTTACACTTTTTTAAATTGTTACAATTAAGAAAGTATTATAAGACTAATTACAAGATAAGAAAAAATAGTGGTAATCTGTAACATGGTATAGATAAAATATTTGTATTGTTGACATATAGGGATAGATAGTTGGAGCCATGGTTGAGAAGTTTATAGAAGTTTCTAGAATTAGTCCTACATTAGTGGACTATGTAGGATCCATCATGGAACATTCTAAAAAAAGCTTAAGATGGTTATCTAGGTAGGATCCACCATTAGGAACATTCTAAAAAGTTCTAAGATGATTGGACAAAGTATAAATAGGACTAGCTAAGGCTATTTGGGCATCTAGTCAAGTATGGCTTTGGACTCTTTTTCTTAATAAAGTTTGGTTTTGCATCTTCTTGTTCAGTTCTGTTCTATTTTCTTTTCTTATAGTCTGCTCTGTCCTACATTGTGATGGAATTTATGTTATGGATTAGAAGGGTCTTAAATTTTTGAAATAGTTCAGTCCCATTTCATTAATATTAGAGCGAGTATTAGATTGTTCTTTGATAGCGTGTTGATAGCCATCATCTAATTTAAGGTCAATTATTGTGGTCACACTTGGTACTGTATTGAGGCTACCACGAGCTACTCTTAAGAAGTCAGTTGGAAAGAAATAAGGCATTATAATAGTAGAGTCTAGCAAGAAAATTTCAGCATGAGAGATATGGCAGAGCAATTCTAGATGGAGACTTACATAAAACACATCTTAAGCCAGATAGCTACTCTACAAGGATAAATAGAAACCTGTAGAACAAAGAAATTGACATCTATTAGGTTGAAATTGAGTAAGTTTGATACTTATTCTAAGACTTCAAGGAAAAAAGACATATGTTAATTACTTTTTAGTATGCAACAATACCTCCAACTATATGACACAAATACCACCAAAGGAATTATGTATGCACTCAGCCATTTAAAAGATACGGCAGCCATTTGGTGGCGACATTGAGTTCAAAGCTATGGAGCTTAAGGTAGATTTTGTGATTGAGAGGAGTTTGAAACTGAGTTTAGGAGTCAATTTTGGCCTTTCAATGTAGAAAAGATAGCATGTGATCATTTGACAAATCATATTTAATCCACATTGGTGTAAGATTATATCTTTCAATTCAAGTCCTTATATCTCCAAATTGGTAATATTTCAGAGGTGGAGATGATGGATTGGTTTTTAAAATGGTTGAAACTTAGGGTTTAACAAAACGTAGAACTAAAGGATCTACAAACATTTGAAGAAGCAATTAGGATTGTAGAGAGAATCAATGTTATAGATTTTAGAGATTGTAGAGTATAACCTATAGCACAAAGTCATATGCTACTATTTTATATTATAAATAAATCAAAACAGATTCACAGTCTCAAGATTCACCAAGTTGATAACAAGATGGAGCAAGGAAACAAGACTCCTCAATAAAGCCATTGACAACCAATATTGGGAATAGCTACTGGTCTCAGAGACAAACAATATAGCCTTAGACAACTATAAAATGGATTGACTACTGAATCTAATATGACGATTAAGAGGACAGCAATGTCAAGTGCTTGTGGATTGTTGCTATATAGAAAATTACATCTTGACTAGAATTATTCATTGACTTGAGATTAAAACCAAGGTAATCAAAAGAAGGAATATATTTCTTGCAAATGATCGAGAGTATGTATTGAATGAGAAATATGAAAAAGAAACCTTGACGTTGAGTCATACCTACGTCTTAAGAGAGAAATTCAAGATAACAAAGCTAAGATATGATATTATTCTTGGTATGTCATAGTTAGAAGTGAAAAAGAAACAAATTCATTGGCTAGCAAGGACAATTTTCTTCAAAGATAGTGGATACAAGGTGATTCTTTGTACTTCTACATCAAATGAGGAAGAAAAATAATCTACAACTAAAGACTTATTTGTAGGAATGATCTTTTTGAAGAAACAAATATAACATAAGCAACTAGTATATATGGTGGTTCCAAATCTTACATTAGTGGTAGAAAAGATAGTCGAAGGAGTAGAATGGGCAGAGCAATTCATATGGAAATATTAAGATGTCTTTCCAATAGACCTACCTAGTGGCATGCCTTCTAATCAAGGTACCCCTTTCCAAATAGAACTTTTTTTGGAGCCAAAGTAATAAGTTGGCCAATTTATTGCTAGCACCAAATGAACTTGAAAAGCTGCAAAAGACATTGGAAAAACTCTTGGAGAAGGGCCTCATTCAAGAAAGCACATCACTTTGGAGAGCACTTGTATTCTTTGCATCCAAAAAGGATAGTAGTCTTTGACTTTGCATCAACAATCGAGGCCTCAATAAGTAGATTATTAAGAATACATATTTACTTGCATACATGGATGATCTTCTTAATCTTCTTTGAGATGCAACAAGCTTTAGCAAATTGGACCTTTGGAGTGGCTATTGATAGACACAAATTGTAAAAGAGGATATAAAAAAGATGACATTTTGTATGCGCTATAGAAATTATGAATGACTTGTTTTATCTTTTGGCCTCACCAATGCTCTAGCTTCTTTCATGGATCACATGAATAGATTATTTTGGAATCCTTTGAACAAGCATATAGTTGTTTTCATCAATAATATCTTAGTATATAGTATAATCTCTAAGGAGCATGAGCAACATCTACAAAAAGTATTATACCAGCTGCAAAATAGTTGTTTCTATTGCAAGCAATCAAAGTATGAACATTGGAAGTTGGAGGTCACTTTTTTGGAGCATGTAGTATTCTTTGAAGGCATGTGTATGGAATAGGATAAGATAAAAGCAATGGAAGATTGGCCAACCTCCAAAGATGCTTTTAAAGTCTACTCATTCTTAAGCCTTCTTGAATATTATTGTTGTTTCATTCAACAATTTACACACATTGTTGCCTCATTGAAAAGCCTATTATAGAAGGGTGTCCTATTTGAATAGAAATTGGAGTAGCAAAGTGCCTTTAATAGGTTGAAGGAAGCACTCATTACTGCCCTAATATTGCAACTGTATGATCTGAACCTTTTATATACACTTGATATTGATGCTTTCAACTTTGCTATTGGTAAGATCTTTCAATAAGACTTTGATAGAGATCTTCAATCAGTGGCATATAAATGATATAAATTTGAAAGGATAGAAGATAATTATTTTGTCGATGATTAAGAGTAATTAGTGATTATACATGCCACAAAAGTGTGGCGATATTATCTATTGGAGAATCAATAATTATTTGGATTAACCATTGATCCTTATTATATAGTTTGCATTTAGAAAATATGAAATCATGTCATCATTGTTAAAAAGAATAGTTATAGTTTTTTGATATTCAACTTGAGTACAAATAAAGGTAACAACATACTGTGCTAGATAGTTTATTACAGAGACTAGACTTGAAGGTCAAATTAAGGGATAAGACAAAAGTCACAAATATTAGTAGTATTATTTTGAACCTAACTTAAGAGGCAAAATAAAAGGAAACTATAAATTGAGATGTTTATTTTAAGATGATTAATAATCAATTGAAGGTAAGTAATATATAATATTAAGACCACAGTCTTAGTAATGGCTTGTTTTATTTTAAGAAGTGGATTTATGTACGTAACAATGCTATACTTTGGACATGCATACTTCAAGAAGGACATGACATCCTAATATTTAGACATCTAAGGCGTGAAAAGACTTTAGAACAGATATGATTTTAGGTAGGTTTGGACTATGATATTTGAACTATTATGCACTCTTATGAGTCATGCTAATATAACAAAGCATGTAATGCAGCATCTCCTAGTCTATTGTGGCAAATTTTACAACCTACGGCATATTGAGAATAGGTGATTATGAATCTCATTACGTATTTGTCCTAAACACTTCATAATTATATTGTGGTTGTTGTCATTATGAACCAACTCTTAAAGCAACTTCACTTGATTGCTATACACTTGAATATTGATGCTTTAACACTTATACAAGTCTTCTTTGATATTGTCTTTCGTCACTATAGATTATCTTCTTTCATCATTTCAAATCAAGATCTATACTTTACAG